TGCCCCCCCCCCCCCCCCCCCCCCCCCCGCTTATAATCTACAAAAACTTTACTGATAGGCTTACCCCTTAGCTTTACTTTCTATATTCAATATATGGAGTCGTATAAATCCTGAGACAGGAATTTCTTTTGTCATATTCATAGATATACTTCATTGTTTATAGTGCCGTAATTGCAGGATACAATGATTCCAAGTTTCATGATCAACTGCAGAACTATTTGTAAATGCTTGGTCTCATTTGGAACACACTGACCTACAGTTTCTCTGATTGTAAGCTATAAAGTGTAAGTCCTCCTCTCCTCTTTGAGATTTGACATTGAGAATACCCAATGAAAAGCAAGCTTTGATATCTGAGGTCTAACCGATCAGCTTTGGGATTGTTGTGTAATTGATTATTTGGTGTAAGATTTTGATATTGGTAGTATTTGTCCATCAGCTTGTCGTTTGAGTCTTGATGTCATGTTAAGATAGTAATACTGTGCATTTGGAAAAGATTGCAATTTTTCAAATATTTGTCAAGAGCAAGATTGTAAACATGTTCTAGCAAACAATGTGAATGGTGCTAGAGAACATATTACATTGTTTTAGTTATTTGGATACGTGTAGTCAATTCATTAGTCGGTTGACGAACGGATATTTGACACACAAGTTGCCGAAAGAAGCAGAAACCATTAACTTCAATGATTTTAGTGCTATTTTTTGTTTCCTCGAGAGACTGATCAAAGTAAATGATATTTCTTATCTATCACAGCCTCAACTTGGAATTGCCTTTGCCCCTGCCATTGTGTATTTCATGTCCAATTCATAATAATATTTAGATTTCAATTAACTCATATATAAAATTCAATTTAAGCAATTAAATTTGTCAAAATACTAACAAATTATAGTTATGCATGCAACTCGATTTAGTGTTGAGTCGCCCCATGCAAAATAAACAATCACTTGGCTTCTAGTTAGCTCGATCAAATTGAATTGTTGTAAACAAAGCCAACTAATATACCAATTAGTTATGTTCGGCTTAATTCAATCTTCACAATCTCGAAATTGTTCCATCATCCAATTTAATTAAATACCACTTGGAACGTTGTCTATTGCATCTTGATCACGATCTAGTGCTTCAATTGGATAAGGGAACTCGAACATCCCCATTTATTTCAACTTACAAAGGTCCATAGCCTGAACCTCTCCTCAAATTGGTAAGTCAAAAGGGCTCATTGAGGTTTGCATTGGGAAATTTGAAATGATTATTTTGAACCTTAACGACTTTCACTTTTTAGTGTTTAGGTCCGTTTGGTACTCATTTTTTTCAAAATGTATTTTTTTCTCTCTTCTTTTCAACTACACATTATTTATTAAAATAATATTACACGTAAATAAAAAAAAATTCTTTATTTTTCAACTACACATTTTCCATCAATCTACTATTCAAAAATACATTTTTAAATAAAAATGTCTCCCAAATACCCTCTTAAACTTAAAGTATATTTTAATATAATAAAGTTGAAATAGTCCATTTACTGAAAATAAAAGTTTGGTTACTACCCAACTGAGTGAAAATTATTTAGCCCTGTTTGACGATTATTATTTGAATTTTTTTTTTTTGACATGTTCATTTTCAATCAAATATTCATATAATAAAATATTTTGTATATAAATTTAAAATTTTTCTTTACTTTTTATTAACAAAATTTCTTAAAAATTATTCAAAACATTATTTTCCAAATAGTTGTAAAACGGGCTCTAATTAGCCACTGGTCCGGCTAATTGCCGAATTTCATCTTCCTCTGTATCCCCGATACGCGCCCCCTTCCTCTTTTCAGTGTGATTACTGGCATTTTGAATTTCAAAAGATAGTTTCACATTTTGAATTTCAAAAATGTTGCCGTTACCAAACGAGTGAAGAACCCCACAACGGCTATAAATAATTAAATATACTCACATCCCAACTGAAAACAATATTTTCTTGTAATCTTGATCGATTTTTCACACAGAAAGGGAAAGAAAGAGGAGAGAAAAAAATGGAGAAACCCAAATCTGCAATGGACGCATTTGAAAAATTGGAGAAAGTGGGAGAGGGGACTTACGGTAAAGTTTACAGAGCCAAGGAAAAGGCTACTGGGAAGATTGTGGCCCTCAAGAAAACTCGTCTTCATGAAGACGAAGAAGGCGTGCCCCCCACCACTCTTCGCGAGGTTTCCTTATTGCGAATGCTCTCAAGAGACCCTCATGTCGTCAAGTATAGATTTCATTTGCTAAACTCTGTTTCTTTCAATTTATTTAAGTTCTTGATTTAATAATTTATTGGATTTTATTTCGGTTTCTCTATGTTTCCGAAATGATTTTCTAGCCGTGTTAATCGATTTATTTAAGTTCTGGGTTAAATAATTAATTCGATTTTACTGAACAACGAGAGATCGTTATTGGGTTTTCTTGAAATTTATTATTTATTTCCATGTGTTGATTTTCTAGGGTTTTACGAGTTTTTGTAATGAATGATTTTTCGATTTTAATTTTTTTATGATTCTAACCGTTCTGGGGTATCTTCTTATCATGCGTTCTTGAGGCTCTGATTTGTTTTCTTCTGATATTTTTATTGGCTTTCTCCATTTTTGTCTTCGTTTAGATTTTGTTAAGATTTGAAAAGGATATATTTCTTGTTTGGTGCTAAAGAAATCTGTCTTAATTTTTGGATTAGGATCTCTTGATTCTGCTAATTGGTTCTTGTGTTATATACATTTCATTTTTTGCTACGTGTAGTTTCTTTGATTAATTAAGCTTAGTTTTGATTTAAGTTTTCAATAATGAACTATGCTGAGAGCTTGATTGGAAAAGCTTAAAAGCCAATTAAAATCAATTTTTTGACCGTTATTTTACTATTTCAGTCGTCATTTTTAAATTATTCTATAACGGTCAAAAAAATCAATTATCAAAATCCCTATCTAACAAGCACTTAGAGTTTTTAGGCGTTCTGTGTGGCTTCTTGTTGGATTGTTTTATAGTGATATCTGTAGCCCTATTTGAATTTATAGTTCTTTTCTTGAATTGATCTCTTTCAACTACAATGCTGCAGGTTGTTGGATGTGAAACAAGGGCAGAACAAAGAAGGCAAAACAGTTCTCTATTTGGTGTTCGAGTATATGGACACCGACCTGAAGAAATACATTCGCAGCTTCCGTCATGTGGGGGGTAGCATGCCAACTACAGCTGTCAAGGTATAAATGGCTTGTTTTGTTTGGTTAAATTTGAAAATTTATCGATTCTGCGTCTTAAATTTTTTGTTTTCACAATGCAGAGCTTGATGTATCAGCTTTGCAAAGGCGTTGCGTTCTGCCATGGTCACGGAGTGTTGCACAGGTAAATCTCGTGTTTTTATTCTCTTCTTTATATCCTCCACCTTGTAGCTAAATCTGTTTCTTGATTTCGTGATGATTCAGGGATCTTAAGCCTCACAATCTTCTGATGGATCGTAAGACAATGATGCTTAAAATAGCAGATCTTGGACTAGCCAGAGCATTTACAGTGCCAATCAAAAAGTATACTCACGAGGTACCCCACATTTTTTTTATTTTGTCTTCTGCAATTAAGTCGTTAGCAATTATCAAGCAGTCGAGTTAACGGTTGACAATGATGTATCTTGTTTTACCAGATATTGACGCTTTGGTACCGAGCTCCAGAGGTTCTTTTGGGAGCTACACATTACTCGACTGCAGTCGACATGTGGTCTGTCGGCTGTATATTTGGTGAGTTTCTTAACGATCTCCATTCTTATTATTATGCCTATGTCTGGGAGGGATTCGCACCAAGATTTTAAGTGGATTTATGACCGTTGGCAATGCACATGGCCCCGTTGCTGCCCTTTTTTTACCGTCATTATCTTTAAATTATCACAAAAAGTCTATATTAACCGTTTTCTTTCTTTGAATTACTTATTATATCCCTTGGCCGTCATCATTTTTGACAATTCTTAAAGGGCATCTAATTAGGCGATAATTTATTGAAAAGACACTAAAAAAGGGGCTACAATGTGACCCATGCCAGTGGTAAAAATATCAGTTAACATCTTGTAAAAATCCCTCGCCAAATAGGGGCTATCTATAATTCTCTTTGATCTTTAACCATTAATCTCAGAGTTATACCAGTATTCTAATTATATACAGTTTTGAATTTTAATTTCAGCTGAACTAGTTACGACGCAAGCTCTCTTCCCGGGAGATTCTGAGCTGCAACAGCTGCTGCACATTTTCAGATTGTTGGGGACCCCAAATGAAGAAGTTTGGCCTGGAGTGAGCAAGTTAGTAAACTGGCACGAATACCCTCAATGGAACCGTCGGCCACTTTCATCGGCAGTTCCTGGTCTGGATGAAGATGGGCTAGATCTGTTATGTGTAAGTTTTTTGCATACAATTTGGTGACTTGCTTAGAGAAAAATGCACTAATTTTTCAATTTTTACAGGAAATGTTGCAATATGAACCATCAAAACGGATTTCCGCCAAGAAAGCTATGGAACATCGTTACTTTGACGGTCTTGACAAGTCTTATCTCTAAAGAAATTAATCCAGAAGTACAATCACTGGTCCCTGGATTGGGAATTTTCTTGAGATTGTCTAACTGCTTCCCTCAAGCATTTGTTAATCATGTTTTCAGGCACATGTTTGAACTTCTTGTTTGCTACTTTGATTGACCATTTAAACTTGACTAGATGTAGAAGGCACATTACTATCTTTGTATGCTTTCAAAAACTGTTCTTTCTTGTTATTGTCATTTGCCGTTATTGTTCCTTTTCTTCCTTTTTATTTTACTTAAACATGTCGATACATAGATTGCGTGTTTGGTCTTGCTTAAAAAGGGGAAATAAGTGCTTATTTCTGATCCTTTTTTTTTTAATTTTTCTAATAAACTTTGGGCGGCGGCTTTGAAGGACATTTGAGAAGTCTTTCTAAGGTTCAAAAGTTGTTTATGGACTCGTTTTATTAGTTTTATTAAAAGTATAAAGGTAAGAAAAGTTTTTAGAAAAAATTGGTTTAATGTGACCTTTTTTAAAAAACTAGGAAGACCTTTTAGAGAAAATTGATCCAACATTATTTTCAAATTTTAAAAATTAGTTTAAGGCCCCGTTTGATTGCACGAAATTTTCCATGGAACTTGGAATTTGAATTCCAACTTCCACTTTTGGCCTGTTTGATTGACAAAATTTTCCAGGGAATTGATTTTCCATGAATTTCTAGGTACAACACCTTAAAGCGTGATTTTCCACCTTTTTTTATTTTTAATTTTTTTGCTTTCTTTATTTTTTCTTAATTGTTGGCAATGGGAACAAATTTTAGGAATAATTGTAAAAGAGGATATCCCTGAAATTGACAATTTCCACGTAAAACAAAGTCAAACGAACATCAAAAAATACTTTTACTTCAACATTTTCCACGTGAAAAATTTATACAATCAAACACAATAATTTACAATTTCCATGAAAACAATTTCTAGGTAATTCAATTCCTTGGAATTCATTTTCTTTCCATGTAATTTTCCTACTTGTAATCAAACGCACCCTAAACGTTTTTAAGGTAAAAAGCACGTGGATCATTATTTTTATCTTATTTTTTTAACCATACATTTAAAAAAAAAAAATCACTTTTCATATGATATAATATATTTTATAGTTTAACAGCACATTTAAAAAAAAAAAAATCACTTTTAAGCCATACTAATAATATTGATCATTTAATGTTAGCACTGTTAGACTTGAAGTTCCATTTTAATATGTCAATCTTGTTTGAGCATATCAATCTTGAAAATTGAATGCTCTTTTTTTTTTTTTTTAATTCTTAATTGGATTGAATGACTAATACAAATTTAGGGTTCTATCTTATAAGATCAACCTTGTTAAAAGGAGGAATCCAAACCCTTTTTTTTTTAAATCTCAATTGTCTTTTTTTTTTTTTAATCCAAACCCTTATATATCGAGTATCTCTTTTGAGTTTAATAGACTTTGTTAATATATAAAAGAAGTGGTTCCATTTTAAAAGGTCTAATCCAAATCCTTATAAATTGATATATATTTTCAACTTTATTAGACATGGAATTTTATCCTTAACTAGCACAAGATAATTTCAAAATGAACTTCCAAAATCAAAATTCATTTCATAAAAACAAAACTGGAGAGAGAAATTAATTGATATATATTTTCAACTTTATTATATGCATAGTTTGATTTCCAAGGTTGTTAAAAATCTTGTCTTTCGCTTTGCAATCCAACCAACTGATAAAAGATAAAAAGGATAATGGGCCTCTTTGATAATAATTATGAGAATTGATTTTTTGACTTTTACAGTATGTTTGGGAGTGATTTTTTGGTCAAAAAAATTGATTTTTTGACCTTTATTTTACTATTTCAGCCGTCATGTTTGACTTCTTCTCTCACATGTGGATTTCACTTTTCCTCTAATGGTAAAAAAACCAATTATCAAAATCACTCCCAAACAGGCTCTTAGAGAGAAAAGGATCCCATTTGTGAATGAAAAAGTGAGAAATAATAACTGATCATATTAAGTAACGATAAAAAAATTGATTTTTTCGGTGAAAAATCAGAACCAAACTGGGGATATCTAAAAAAAATAAATATCTAAAAGCATAAAATATTAATTAATTTTCATCACTCCATTTCAATTATTTTATACTCTTCGAACCGTTGCACGATACGAGTTAATCTCACTAATTCATAGGAAATTTATTCGAATCCAAAAACCGCCTTGACTAATTCCAACTTAAAACAATAGATTACATAAATAAAATGAAACCCAACTACTTTAAAAAATATATTAATTATAAATATTTATTCTAAAATCTAAAAATAAGCATGTAAAACCAACCCAGTCATAATTACAAGAGGCGAGCGAATCGATTTGCTTGTATTCTGATCTGAACCGATCATCTTCTAAAGTAAAAGTCATGCCAAACGAACCTTAAAACTATTGACCTTTTACATTTTGCTCTTGTTTGGATTTGTTAAAAATTATATTTTTAGTAGATTTTGATAAAATTTGATAAAATATATAGTTTAATTTCATACAATATGCGATTTAAATTAATTGTTGACTTTAACTTA